CCGGCCCGTTCCGGGAAGAGCTCGGCGCTGCCGCCCGGCCCCCGGGAAGGGCTGTTCCGGGAAGCCCGGGGCACTCCCTGCCCCCTCCGGGCACGCCGCAGCTTGCAGAGCCGGGGGGCGACCCCCCGCCCCCACGGCCGGGCTGCCCCAGGGGGCTTTGCCCCCGCCCCGCGGCGTGCAGAGGAAAAGAAAAGCAGCAGCCCCCGCCCGCAATGGGGAGACCCCCCATGGGGGGGGGCACACCCCGACTCGCAATGGGCCGGTCTCCGTTTCCAATGGGGGGCCCTTAAACACTGACAACGCCCCCCCCCTTCGGCCGCCAGGGGGTGCCGAGCCCCGCAGCCCGGGGGGCGGGATCGATACCTGCGGCGGCTCCAAGCGCTGTTTGCACCCGCGGGGGCCGCGCAAACAGACGTGTCGGAGCCGAACCCCCCGAGAACTTCTTGTCGTTGTTGTTTCAGAGGCTTCCCCCCCCCCGCAAAAAAACCCGGCGAGGAGCTGAGTTCGCATCTCCTGCCCTGCAGAGTCGGGGCTTCATCCCCTTCTCTGGAAGGGATCCAGCCCCCGCAGCAAGGGGCACTACCCCCCCCAGGGGCCTGGGGCAGCTGGAGAAGAGGGCAATCACACACATGCATGCACACACCTATGTGTGTGATAACATATCAGTGCTAAGATACACGTGCATACGCACATTTCATGCATGGATGCGTTGATGCGTATACACGTGTGTGCATGCACACACCTATGCAAACATACACCCCGCACTTCAGCCCCCAGCTCTCCACCGCCAAGCCAGCTTGCATCCTTGGAAAGCAACAGGGGAGACACTGGTGCAGGGTCGTGTTTACAGGTGGGCAGGAGCCAGCGGGGCGCGGGGGCATTCGCACCAGCACCCCCATCGCGGCAGGCTGAGACGTTGCAGTGGTCCAGTCCGCAGAGCCCACGCCTGCCCCCACAACACAGGCTCCAGCTGCACCGAGATGCCCCGTTTGAAGTCTTCCTACACACCGAGCTGTCCGGTGCCACACTGGGGCCCTGTTTCCCCATCTGTTCCCACGGATCTGCCCCGTGTCAGTGGGAAGTAACCTCCAGGCAGTCGTGGCGCTCGGTGCCTGTTATTAGAGGGGAGGGCACCATGCGACAGGGGTAGGGAGCTGGGGCTGGAGAAAGCATCGGATCACCCTCTCTTCCTGCACCCTTCCCAGGACGGGTTTGAGGCCTGAGGTCCAAAACCCAGCCACCTCCCCCCAGGAACGCCCTAGACTTTCGACTCGCAGCCGGGACTGGAAATGGAGAAGATCGTGCGGCGTTAGAAAAGGGGGTTAAAATGAGTGGCTAGGTCTGCAGCTTCAAGTGTGCGGTCCCAAGAAGTTGACTGACTTCTGGATGTTCCTCCAACCAACCCAGCTGCGAACCCTCCCAGGTCCAGCCCTTGCTGCTGTAAACACAAGGATTAAATTACACTTTTTTGGCTGCATTTCCAAAGCCAGAAGAACCCTTTAAAAGCTAAGTCTAGAACAAAACATACGGGAGCTCTTCACACAAGAGGTGCTTGTTCCCAGGGCTCCCATGCCAAGCCATAAAAGAGCACGACAGGTCCAGGAGAGGCAGCAGAAGCAGCTCCAAGTTTAGATTTTACAAATGTAAAAATAAAATAATAATAATAATAATAACAACAACTCTCCTTTTTAAATGGAAGCAGCAAACACACCCCAGGCAGCTTTTAGCCCCAAACAGGACAGGAATTGAAGCAGACTTCAATGCCTCTTTGTCTCGGATGGGAGAGATGCAACAAAAAAAGTAAACAGACTGCCACAACAGTGACACACAAACTGGGATCTTTCACGCAGCCCTGGTGTTTGTCCAGAGCTCTTCATGAGAAAAAAAATCAAGAAAATATTTGAAATGGGGTATTTAATAAAAAAACCAAACACAAAACAAAACACAACCCCCCCCCCCAAAATG